TGCCCCAGCAACAGTCACCTTGAAGGGCATAACCCTTCTCTGGAGTCTAAAGTTAGTTTAAAAATAACAGCTCTCACTAATCAGTAGTGGCACGCCTTTACTCTCAGCACTGGGGAGACAGAGGCAGGCAGAAGTTTCAAGCCAGCCTGGTCTACAAGTTGAGTTGTAGGACAGCCAGGACCACACAGTGAAACCCTGTCTTGTGAAAACAAAAAACAAAACAAGACAACAGCTCTCAGCTCACTTTTAATTCCAGCATTCAGGGGGCAGACAGGTGGAATTCTGTAAGTTTGAGACCAGCTATGTAGAACAGGTTGGTCTTGAAGTCACTTGAGATCTACCTGCCTCTGCTTAGATTAAGGGTACATACTTCCATAGGGCCCCAGTATACACTGCCTCTACCATTGCAACCACAGACTATGTCCTGTCAGGCAGCATGAGTCCTCCAACCTTATTCTTCATTAGTTGTTTTGGCTAGTCTGTTTATCAGTATGTATGGTCCTACTAGAAATTTCATGGAAGTTTTGTCGAATTTATAGACCAACTTTAAGAATATTGTTTAAAAATATTGAGTTTTCCAATCCAAATATGGTCTTTACATTTTTTTTTTTTTTTACATTTTCTTGTATTACATTTTTGTTTTAATTTGCCTTGGAGACTATTTTGCTATTAAGTACTTTCTCATTAAGAATTTTATATTTTGTTAGACTTATACCTATGTTTATTTGTTCTGTTTTAAGTGCTAAACAAACAGCTCGATCCAGCTGTTTGTGGTTGGTAGAGATGCTTGTTGATCTGTTGACTCCACCAAACCCAGTTTTAGCAGCTCTGGGAATATTGGGGATGCTTTTCTTTTTCTTTTCTTTTCCTTTTTTTTGTTTTTGTTTTTGTTGGTTTGTTTGTTTGTTTTTGAGACAGGGTTTCTCTGTGTAGCCCTGGATATCCTGGAGCTCACTGTGTAGACCAAGCTGGCCTCGAACTCAGAAATCCGCCTGCCTCTGCCTCCCAAGTGCTAGGATTAAAGGCGTGTGCCACCACTGCCCGGCAGGGATGCTTTTCTAAAGTTTGCCAATTACAGGTTTAAAACTGGCATATTATTTATTGATTTATTTATTTTATTAATCAATAGGGTAGAGATCTTTTACATGACCCTAGGATGAGTAGGAGAGGATTACTCCATTATGAATTATATTTGTGAATGTTTCCATTCTCCTTAGCTTTTTGAGTTTTCTCCCAGTTTATTGTCTTTTCGTGTGTGGTGATTTGGGGGATACCAAGGGTTTCATTTGCTTGGGGGGGTTTTGGTTTTAGATAGCCAAAGCTTTGCTATTGTGGTTTCAGCCTTTACCGTCGTGCCTAGGAAGGCCTCCCCACTCTGTGGCCTCCTTGACTGGAGCACGTGCTCCATTTGTTTATGTCACATGTGTGCATTATGTTGTGTATAAATGACCCTGACTTGACTGCATTTAAATTCACCTGAGTCTCCCACATTCCCGTGCTGAGGGCACCCTAACATCCACAGTGTTACTATGTGAGAGCTGGGAAGAGGAAACTGGAGATAGAGAACCCAAATAAAAACATGCTACACACAGTGTTTCATTCAGTAGTGGCTTATGCACAACTTCATGTCAGAGCAGTTAGGTGCACTTCCCTCTTCTGATGCATTGTTCTGTTTTATGACTGTATTGTAACTTATTCCTCTGTAGTAGACATTCATTTGTTTGCACTGGTGATGCTACAGTGATCTCTTTGCTTATGTTAACCTACAGGTCTCTTTAATGTGGGGAATAAGTTGCTAGTCAGCCTGGACTTACTTTTCGCAATCCGGAACCAGATTAAGCTGGGAGAGGACCCCAGAGTATCTGTCAGTGTTGTGCTGAAGTCTGTGCAGGAACAAACAGGTAAAGGTCTTGCCCTCTTTTCCAGTTTCCTGAGGACTCTGAGGACTCAGTGTTATGCTTTAGCCAAGTCATTTAGAGTGAGAGTCTGATATTTTGAAAAAGAGCTAGTCCTGAGTTCCAAATAATACAATATTCGTTCAGAATTTTATAAATGTCACATTGACTTTAGAAAATGTTTTCATGCATACAAGGGCCTTATTAAGCAAGAAATCACAACTGACTTAGAATCATGTCCCTTCCGTCCTAGATAAACTTGGCTTTGTAGCCTGTTAGTCAGACTCACTCTGATATCTCCCAGTTCCAAGACTCTTGTGGAGACCCAGGTGTAGGGATCACATCCTTTGCTACATAGAAAGTCTCTCCTGTCTGTAGTCCTTCTGCTTGTTCCTCACCTGTCTGGTCTCTACAAGCTCCAGTCCTGTGCTTTGTCTCAGGTAGGACAGTTGAGACAGCTTCATGGACTCTTTGAGGCTTGCCTCTGCTACCTGATGACAGTGTGGTTTGGAGCAATTGGTTCTGTTTAGTCATAAAAGAAGGTAGTACTAGCTCCTGGTTCATAAAGAATTAGAATCACTTGAGAATTAGATAGGTAGTATATTCAAAGCCTTCAATACCAACATCTAGTGCCTAGACAGTGTTACTTCAAGGTTGCTGCCCTCCGATTGGAGTTGTCCACAGGCTTGCCACCAGAACGCTTGTAGATTACTGTCCTTGCTGGCTACTGGCTGGTCCTAGTGCTTTTAGGGTCTTTTTCTATGACCTCTTGCTGTCCTTCCAGAGAAGACACTGACCTCAGAGGAGCTGAGCCAGCTGCAGGAGCTGTTGTGCAATGGCTATTGGGCTTTTGAGTGTCTCACTGTTCGTGACTACAATGACATGATCTGTGGCATCTGTGGTGTGGCCCCTAAAGTGGAAATGGCTCAGAGGAATGAAGAGAATGTGCTGGCACTGAAGAGTGTAGAGGTAAGTCCCTCTCAGCCTCCGTAGCCACCTTCAGAACTGTCTTGTCCCATGGACAGCTTCCCTCAGGCTGCATGCTATCCCAGGGATAGATGGCTCCAGTCCTATCTAGGTGAGGCCAGTGGCCTTATCCTCCTACAGCCCATTGTTTATTTGAAAAACATTAGAAAGAAACACAATTTCATGGTTTCTTTGTTTTGTTTCATTTGGGGTTTTTGGTTTTGGAGACATGGTTTCTCTGTATAACAGTACTGGCTGTCCTGAAACTCACTTTGCAGACCAGGCTGTCCCCAAACTCACAGAGGTCCACCTGCCTCTGCCTCCCAAGTGCCGAGATTGAAGGCATGTGCTGCCACACCAGGCTCTGTTCTCCCTGTCTCTCCGTTCCACACACACACACTTACTTTCTGTGATGCTGAAGATTGACTCCAGAGCCTTCTGCATGCTAGGCAAACACACTACCTGGAGAATTACACCCCTAGACCTTGTTTGTTTCCTTCACTAATAATTGAACCAGGACCAGTATAGGTGTTAAGCAGGTTATAATGATGCAGGAGTAGCGAACTATGTGGGGTCTGAGGTTGTGGGGGTAGACCCTACCTATATAGGGCAGCATAGCTCTTTAAGGATGGGTACACAATGAAGTGAAGAGCCACCGAAGGTGCTGGGCAAGTCATGTGAGCTGGTATTGGTTCTGAACTACAGTTTACACTAGATGGTTTTGTGGGTTGTGATAAAGTCCAAGGTACATATGATCCCCGTTGTAAAAGAAAAACAGCAAAACCAGATAGCTGTCTCCTGCTTTCAAAACAAATTCAGGGACTGGAGCAGTGATTCCACAGTTTAAGAGGACTGGCTGTTTTTGCAGAGAACCTGGGTTCATGTCCCAGTGCCCACATTAGGCAGCTAACAATCACTATAACTCCAGTGCTAAGGGTTCTAGTGTCCTAAGAGTTCTGGCCTCTGAGGTACCTCACACACATAAGTGCACACACAAAAATAAATTAATCTTTCTTTAAAATCAGACATTTTAAATAGAAGAAACTGGAGCTGATTATACATGAAAATATAGATGCCTAAGTCTTGAATAAAATAATAATAGTACATCAGGTCTAACAGCAAATGGAGTAATACTATACCCTGGCCAAATTTACTATCAGGAAGCAGAGTTATTTAACTTAAGTGTGTGTGTATACACACACACATACACACACAACACACACACACACACACACAGCTCAGTAGTTAAAAGCACTTGCTGTCAAGCTTGGTGACCTGAGTTACATCCCTGGGATGGCACCAACATGGCAGAAGGATGGAAACGAACTACCGCAAGAAGTCTTGATCTCCACATTCTGCATATGTGTGCGGGTATGTGTGTGTGCACGTGATGATCCTAGGATGGCCTTCCCTTGACTACAGCAAGGGTATATGCTACTTGTGCTGGTCACTGGATTGGATGTAGAATCACCATGGACACAAACCTCGGCATATCTATAAGGGTTTCCTAGGCACATCCACTGTGGTACAATCGACCCCTAGCCAGGCTGTACACGAGGGGAAGGGAAGCTGAGCACCAGCGGTCACCTGCTTCCTCACTGCACGTGCAGCTTCACCAGCACAAGAAAAGTATTACCGTGACGTGAGGTTTCTGCATCTTGTTGCACCATAGTAACTGCCATAGTAACTGGAGTGGTGGTTCATGAAGTGACAGGTGCAGCTCTGCTGACTAGCCCTAGTGTGTTCGGCATGAACATGTAAACATATCAGTATTTTGTCTTGGTTGGTTTTGTTTGGTCATATTCCTATCTTAGCCTTCTTGGAGCGGGCATAGCTCATGCTTGCACATATTCCTATTGTGTGCTGATTTCTGTTCAAAGGATGGTATGCATAGGACTTGCTTCATTGCTTCAACAAAATACATGCCAGCAGCAGCCTAAGGAAGGAAGGGTTGCTTTTGTCTCACAGTTTGAGAGTATGCCTCATACAGGTTGAAAAGTAGCCTAGCAAGCATTTACGTTTTGGTGGTAGAGATTGATACAGAACCGTGTGTATGCCGAGCCAGTTCTTCACTGCCGAGCAGTACTTGCCCTGCAGCTAGTGAGGCCAGAGTCACACTTGGAGGACCACGTAAGGTGCCTGCTTCATCCAACAGCACAGCACATATTTTAAAATTGGAATGATACAGAGATTAATTATATGGCCTTTGTACAAGGATGACATGCCAGTTCAAGCAGAAAATAAACTGCTTGTAAGAAAAGTAGTACAGAACTGACACTCAGTGGTAGAATGCTTGTCTGTTGTCTGAGGCCTAGGAGTTGGTGTCCCTGACTGCGGAGCAAAGGAGGCTGGTTAACTTAAGTGCTGGGTGTCTGTAATGGTTAAGTCTTTGCTCCATGACAAGAGGTAAGAACTAAGTGTTGTCGATGTCCTGGAGAGCCTGAAGAAAAGTCTCACAAGACCTTGGCAGGCCATAAAGTTCTCCTAAGCAGACTTCTGTTCTTGGCGGCCAGTTACAGGAACTGAGGCTGTGGTTTGAAAATTAAACCTAAGTCAACATTCTTTTTCCTTTTCTTCTTCTTTTTTGTAATTATGTGGAACTGGGTCTTGTGTAGGTGAGTGCAGGTGCCTTTGGAGGTCTGAGGCTTTGGGAGTCTCTGGAGCTGGAGTTCCAGGTGGTTGTAAGCTACTTGATCTTTGGTCTGGGAACCAAACTCAGGTCCTCAGTAAGAGCAGAGTGCTTGTAACCACAGAGCATGCTGTTGATCAGAGCTGTAGAAGCGGGGGGGGGGGGGCCGTATTGTTATTTGGTCTGGGAGATACTGTAGTGTGAGAGGAAGAAAGGGGTGGCTTGGTATTGAATTGTTAGTCTAGAGGAATCTTGGCAGTACATTGCTGTCTCCCAGAGTCTTGATTTCCTGGTGAGTCAAAAAGATCATACTGTATTGTTACTAATCTGTAAGTCACTGCCTATTTTTTACCTTTGTTTTGTTTTTTCTTTGCCTTTTTTATCGTGACCACATTGTAGTTTACCTGGCCTGAATTCTTGGGCTCCAATGAGGTGAACGTAGAGGACTTTTGGACCACGATGGAAACAGAAGTGATTGAGCAGGTTGCATTCCCTGCCAGCATCCCCATCACCAAGTTCGATGCCTCTGTTATTGCTCCCTTCTTCCCGCCACTCATGAGAGGAGCTGTGGTTGTCAACACTGAGAAAGACAAAAACCTGGATGTGCAGCCAGTACCTGGTAAGACCATTTGGTGACTGTTTCGTATTAAGAGAATAGCTCTAGGCATGGTAGTGTGCACCTTTAATCCCAGCACTCAGGAGACAGAAGCAGGTGAATCTCAGTGAGTTCAAGGCCAGCCAGCCAGGACTATATGATTAAACCCTGTCTCCAAAAATGATAGACAGAAATATTTTTTATATTATGACCCAAAATGATACCCACACTCTTGACATGTGTCACATCTATAGTTAGAAACTTGTACAAATATAATACACCTTATGTTCTGTTTTAATTTTGAAAAGTTTGAAAATACAAAGTCTTGTATTAATTTTGTCAGTGCCCTGTGTGATAGGCTGGCTGGAAACATTGTTTCTTAATGTTAGATAACGAGTCTCCTCGCCCTCACTTCAGCTTCTTCACTGCTGAGCTCTGCCCTCTGTAAGCTAGGTCAGGAGCATAGTATGTGGAGAGAGAGCATTTTTTAAATGACAATGCTGGGCCTCAGTGATCAACAGCACGTGCTGCTCTTGCAGAGGAACTGAGTTCAGTGCCCAGCATGAGCACATGGTGGTTCCTAATCACTCGTACCTCCAGTTCCAAGGGACCTGATGCCCTTTTCTGACCTCCATAGACACCAGGCATGTACATGGTGCATATACATTTGTGCATACACTTATAGATAATGTAAAGTAATAGCTCCTCTCCCTCTTGTTGCTACAAGCATCTGAAACATCTGAGCTTTTGGTTCTGGAAACAGACTGTGGGTTAAAAAGTGAGCTGCTGTGGGGTCTTGGCAATGACTGTCTCTGTGACTGGATATATATGTTTCCGGGGCATGGTCTAGTGAGAGCCTTCAGGCATCAGTGAAGCACACGCACACGTGCTTCTGCTCCTTCCCTCACACCCTGTGTCTCACCTCCCTGTTCTCAGTCTCAGGCCTGAGGAATTAGCCATAGTGTCAGGTTGCTGTCAGCACGTCTGTCAGCGCTGTTGTGTGTTTCAGGCAATGGCAGTGCCTTGGTGAGACTGCTGCAGGAAGGCTCCTGCAAGCTGGAGGAACTCAGTTCCTATGGTGGGGAGGAACTGCAGTACCTTCTGGAGCAGTGTGACATCCCCTTTGGCCCAGAAGACTCGAGGGTGAGTGTTGGGAGTGAGATGTAAACCCCATGCCGTGTATGTGTATGGATTTTATCCATACCTCACTTGCTTTCTCTACTATTGAAATGAAAATATGCTTCCTTCAAATTCAGATTCAAATGGTAACTCCACTTCAAACATTTCTCTGACTTTTTTTTTTTTTTTTTAAAAGAAAAGGAAGGCCCAGGTCTGGCAGCTTCCTTTGGAACCTCCTGATGTTTACCTATACCTAGAGGAAGGGGCTGGTGAGGCCCTAAAGCCTAGCAGTTGATGCATTTGCTTTGGGTTTGGAGGGACGTTTGATACAGGGTACCTTAGCATTTGTGCCTGAGTTGTAATCTTTTCCTCCTCTCTAGGATCAGCTCTGCTTCTCCTTATTGGCCCTCTATGAATCTGTACAGAATGGAGCCAGAGCTAGACCGCCCCCATCTCATTTCACAGGGGGTAAAATCTACAAAGTGTGTCCCCATCAGGTAAGACAGTGGCGTGAGGGGAGCATTGGGTGACTTAAAGTTGAACTGCCCACAGAATCAGATCGATCCCGTTAGGACTGGGACTTGTGTCATGGTGCAGCCTGGGGGCCTGGAGAGGGGCCTGGGTCACTCAGTAGTATAAACACCCTACTGCATGCTGGGCCCAAGTTGCCTAAGTGTACAGTGGTAAATGTCAGAGAGGCTGCTTGTCTCCTAGTTGACCTCCTGTTGTCATGGAGGAAAAAAGTTACCACAGCTTGTGATGCTAGCTCTAAAGGAACCAGACAAAGAACTGAGGTAGCCAGAAAAGGCCAAGGCTAGAGACAAAGGAAGAGTCCAGAGAAGAGCCAGAGGAGGAGTGGCTCCAGAGACTTTATTCTGAAGAAGTCACTGCAGATACAAAGCTGTGCAATAAGATTCCAGAATCAGCCAAGGAAGGCACCAGAATGGAACCCGTTCACGGTGAAGTGAGAGTCGGGCTGAGCTGGTGGGCTTTGACTCTTACTCCATGACAGATGAGCACACACTCAGGGTGTGGTGCAGTGCGCCCAGTGTCCAGGGATTCGAGTGCTGTCTTGGACCTGTAATAGCATTTCATTTGAGGTGACAGGATGGGTGGCTTAAAGCCCAGCTCTCCAGGATACTCAGTTCTGTCCCGCAGGGGCAGCTGGGAGATGTTGGTGGATATTCTTGCTAGGTCACAGCAAAGGCTGTTGCTTGTGTAACCTATTGAGGAATGGTGGGAACCTTGCACAGAATACTGATAGTTCAGTCCAGAGGCCCTAAGCCTTGTGTTCACATTGCCAGGCTGGTTGGTAGGGTGATATGGAGTAGGGATTAGAGATGTTCTGAGGTGAGGTCCTAGCTGTTCTCAGGACAAGGATGAGCTGGTGACTTCTTTTAGGAATGTAAGTAGGAGGGGAGGGCCGTCTCGGTGGCTAAAGGCCCTTGCCAGGCAAACCTAACAACCTGGGTTAATCCCGGAATCCACTGTGGAAGGAGAGAGAGAGAGGGTGTGTGTGTGTGTGTGTGTGTGTGTGTGTGTGTGTGTGTGTGTGTGCGCGTGCTGCATGCACAGTAATAATCAGTTCATTTTTAAAAGGAGGAGGAAAGGGATCTAGTGTCATGGGCCCTGGTTTCCATCACCAGGCTGATCTTGAAAGAAGTGAATGAGGACCTACCCCCGCCGCCTGCATGCTGGTTCCTTAACTCTAAATGACACCCTCCATCTCCCACAGGTGGTCTGTGGCTCCAAGTATCTTGTTCGAGGTGAAAGTGCCCGTGACCATGTGGATCTGCTCGCCTCTTCCCGCCACTGGCCACCTGTCTATGTGGTAGATATGGCCACACCAGTGGCCCTGTGTGCTGACCTCTGCTACCCAGAGCTGACTAGCCAGATGTGGGGGAAGAACCAGGGCTGTTTCTCTAACCCTACAGAGCCAGTTGTGGTAAGTTACCTCCTGATTACTGAAATAAGTCCGTGGGGATAAAAAAAAGAGCTCTGCCCACACCCGATATTAGGAGCGCCTGCCTGGGAACTGTCTCTAGCAGCCTTCTTTCCTGTCAGCGTTTTCTCCTGATGCATCAGCATGTACTACAGACACTTTACTGACTGACCACAGTACCAGACCATAGTGTGACACTTAGTGTGCTTGGGGTGTTCCAAACACAGGTGCATGTGTGGACAGGCTGCTTTCCAGAGAATCCAGAAAATTGCCACCTCTGGGAGTCATTGTCCACACTGTACCGTACAGGGCACTGCTAACTCGAGTCTTCGATTCAGCTGTGAGTGTGCTCCAGGGCATGGCATGCCTGGTGAGGCGTAGGTACCGTGGACCTAGAAGGCAGTGGCTTTGCATCTAGAACTATGAGCTGATAAATCTCTGTGTTTTATTCTTTTAAGATTTTTAAGGGAGGTGGCTCTGGGGATGGACCAGATCTTCTCTGACCATCTCCTTTCATTAGAAGAGGAAAATAAGACCCAGGGAAGGAACAAGACTTGGTCAGGATCACACAACCGCTGAGTGATGGAGCCCTTGTGTTTGTGTGTTGGTGCAGTGTCCCAGGAAGTAGTTCCTACTACAGTCATGTGCGCTCAAGGCCTGCCCTTGACCTTGACTAGAAGAGGCATTAGAACTGATTGATACTAGAGAGAAGAGTCATAGAGGAAATGAGTACTCTACCCAGGTGCATTGTGGGAGGTAAAGGCTTGGGTCTAAACATTGTCCTCATTCCCTGGGCTCTCATGCTCTCAGAAATTGTGGTAGAGACCCAAAAAAGTGTCTGAAGTGTCCCTCAGAGCCACTTCCTCCCATTCCTCTGCTTCCTGCATTGTCCAGGTTCAGTGATTGCTCCTGAAGCAATCCAGCATCTGCTGGGATGACCAGTTTCCTATGCCCATTCTTACATGA